GAAGACGCTTTCGACCTAGTTCGGCAAATACGTTCCTGTGACAGTTTGGAAGATGTGGCTCAATCGATCATGAGCCGGGACAAATTGCCCGCACCTGGGGAGGTCTACCCCAGCGGAGACGAGTCCTCGACGCAAGATGATCAATTTGTATCTACATTGGCAGGAAGGATGGGTGAGCTTATGTTGGACGGTTCCCGTAAATATATTGGAGGCACGTCCAACCTCATCTTTCTTCCACCAGGATCAGAGCTCAATGAATTTGACTCGACTCTGAGGGGCCAGGCATTGGACCGCAGCCATGAGTACTCTGTCACTCGGTGGACGAGAGTCACCGACGACGAGCAATTGATAAGTCACCTCATGACGATGTACTTCACCTGGCATTATCCGTTCTTCACCACTATTCCTAAAGATCTCTTCTACCGCGACTACATCCGTGGTGTTTCAAGCCAATACTGTTCGTCATTACTTGTCAATGCGATGCTTGCCCTGGGTTGTCATTTTACCTCGTGGAAAGGCGCTCGGGCGGATCCTAGCAATTCTGCGACTGCGGGAGATCATTTTTTCAAAGAAGCCAAGAGGTTGGTCCTCGAGAATGATGAGCATGAGAACGCAAAGCTGTGCACCGTCCAAGCATTAGCACTCCTATCAGTTAGAGAAGCTGGTTGCGGTCGCGAGGGCAAAGGTTGGGTGTACAGTGGCATGAGCTTCCGTATGGCTTTTGACCTAGGTCTGAACTTGGATTCCAACAGCCTGGGGACTCGTAAGCTTGCCGACGAAGAATTAGATGCAAGACGGATCACATTTTGGGGTTGTTTTCTTTTTGATAAGTTTGTCACCCTTTTTCATTTTATCAAATGTATTCTGACGAAGACAGGTGCTGGTCTAACTACCTTGGCCGCCAGCCTCAATTATTGACCTCGCAGGTTTGCGTGCCGAAGATCGATATCTTGCCCAATGAGGAGGCAGAGCTCTGGTCCCCATACACGGACTCTGGACCGACCCAGGACAACACACAACCCTCGCGGATTAGGACTGTGGCTTTACAGCTTGCCAAGCTGAGTGAGATCAGCGGCGACTTGCTTGTTTACTTCTACCACCCGAGCCCAATGGATAAGCCGCCAACAAAACAAGCGGAGCTTAAAAAGCTCAGCGAGATACATACTAGACTTGAAGCCTGGAAGAAAGGCTTACCCAAGGAGTTGGAACCTCGAGAGGGCCAGCTTCCTCAGGTCCTTGTTATGCAGTAAGCAAGCACTCACTCAGCCCGCAATGGGGCGCCGCCACTAATGATGATCGTAAATAGCATGTTTTACCAACTCCTCTTCATACACCTGTACCGCCCCTTCCTGAGATACACCAAGTCCACCTCTCCCCTTCCTCAGCATGTCTCTCCTCGCAAATTATGCACACAAGCCGCAGCCACCATATCGAAATTGCTGCGGATGTATAAGCGCACATATGGGTTCAAACAAATAGTTAACGTCGCGGTGTATATTGCACATACTGCTTGCACTGTCCATCTTCTCAATTTACCTGAAAAGAATGCGCAAAGGGACATTATTCACGGCCTCCGCAACTTAGACGAGATGGGTGAGAGCTGGCTCTGTGCTCGGCGCACGCTTCGCATCCTCGACATATCTGCCAATAAGTGGCAGATTGAGTTGCCTACTGAAGCCTCAAGCATCTTTGAGAGAACGCACGCGAAATGGGGTTCTTGGGGCTCATGGGATCAAGCAGCATCTCCCTCGACGTCTGAAGAATCCCCACCGACCGTTTCGCCGCAGCTTCCGTCTTCGGCTCCTGCTTATGTAGCACCAGTCCCCGGAGGAACACCAATAACCCAACCTGGAGATTCTCCTCAAAACCTTACAACTTCAGCTTCATTCCAAGGCGACCAACAATATCGTTCAGGACTCTCATTCCCAACGTCCTTATCCGCGATGCGAGCAGCCCATCGCTCTTTTACCGCCCAGATTCCACCAACAGATGCGCCTCTACCGGAACCAACCTATCTTAGGCCTGTCCCTCATGGCTACCGACCAAGGCAGGCTATCCCACTAACACAGCACGACGCTTGGTGCAACGGTCAAGTGCGCACCTTCAGCACAGACAAGAACACCGCTTCGGCTACAGAGGCCTCTCCATTAACCGGTTTTGACGAATCAGAAAATTTAGTGCAGGAGAGCCATGACTGGTGGTCCCGCAATCCCAATGCACTCTTAAGCATGGGGGCGGATAATTGGGAGCAACGTTTGAACCCGAGCTTCGCCGGGCCGGCTTCAAACTTGCGCTACGATAACAATGTTCTTGACCCTGGACAGACAGCAGGACCCAACAGCACGTCCGGAGCGCCACAGGCCTTCAGGTACCCCGTTGGCGTGCCTCCTAATATGGCCGAGTCGGAACAAGTTCCCGGCATCTCTGGGTATAACAATTTAGGTCTTCCAGGCAATTTCCAGCCATAATTTTTATGTTGGATCTTGTATACGAAGTGTATTATGTCATGGTCCGGGATATATAGTTTATGATTAACGATGGGATTGGGTATTTTGAGTTTTTTTGGCACCATTAATGAAAAAGGATATATAGTCCAATGTCTCTGGAGATGATAATAATGTTATTATCTGTTTGCAAGCTCGGCGTTCAGTGTCGCTCATGGCCAACCATACCCTTAGACCTAGGTGCTTACCAGACATACGATACACTTTGATTCCTTCCATGTTTATGCGCAGGACTACAATGAAATATTTATAGTGCACAAAGGATACAATGTTCTGAAAAAAAAAAGAGAAGAATTCATTGATTGGGCCGGCCTATATAAGAATGTGAAAGGAATTCTTAGAAGGGAAGACAAGTTCATCACATGGTATCACTGCGCATAGTTAGTAAACTCAGCGTGTCTCAGGGGAGAGCGGGGAAAACTCACCAGGAAATAATCAGCAACAGGTTTCTTCGCAGGCATGCCCCTCGTGTCCTGCGCGGCGGCCTCAAACACTCTGTACCTTCTACCAGGACTGACGACCCCTGAACCGCCGCCGTCGGAGACCCCATTACTCCGCCCATAATCACCGTTGCTTCTAGCAATCGTACCCCCGTTACTTGTATCCTCGCCGAGCTCAAGTATTGCAGCCACATTGCCACATCGGTAGCAGTAGTTAGGGGCTGACCAGACAGTGACGATCCCGCCGTCAAACATCTCCTTGTAGCCCTCCATGACGAGCTGGTGAGCTCTAGCGACCAGGGACAAATCATTCTTGTAGTTGAACTGCTTCACGATGTCTCCACCGAACAAAAAGCCTGCACCACGCGGACTCAATCCCCATCCTTCGATTTCGTCCGGGTCCGACCAGAGCAAGTCGCACATGGCGCCCTCATGCGGAACCTCTTGTTTTCTGTCAATCAGGCGAATCTTATCCACTGTATCTATCAGCGGCGAAAGGCCGCCGTGCACGCAGAGCACAGCACCGGTCCGACTGGTGTGGCTACCGGCTGCGTTGCCCGAAGCCCCAGTACCCGGTGCGCCGGATCTGGCGGGAGCCTGGCCAGGCGCAGCGGAGATATCCCTAGGTGGGGAGAGGTTTCTGGAATCAGTCGACGCGTCTGATGAAGATCGTTGTCGCCGTCTGTAGGTGCTCATTGTGACCTCTCCTCTCGAGTTGAGTACTTCCGTCTCCAATTGCGCCTCATCGATCGGCATCGTGGACTGGGTGGTGTCATTCATCGTTGAGCCGGTCGGTTCCAGTTCTGAGCTGGCCCCAAGCACAAGTGCGCCCAGCGCCAGATAATCAAAGACCTCGCAGCAATACCGCCACACATTGGCGCTGCCATATTTGCGAATGCATTCGTCGTAGAAGCCGTAGACGGTTGTGATCTGGCGAGACTCGTGATTTCCGCGTATCAAGGTGATGCGATCAGGATAGCGAACTTTGAGACAGAGGAGAAGGAGAAATGACTCGAGAGAATAGAACCCGCGATCAACGAAATCACCCATGAAGAGATAGTTGGTGTCAGGAACATCGCCCCCGACGCGGAACAGTTCCATCAGATCATGGAACTGGCCATGTATATCTCCGCATATTGTGACTGGAGCGTCCACAGACACGACGTTCCCTTCTTCTATCAAGATCTCTCGAGCTTTGTAGCACAGTTCGCGGACTTGGGACTCGGGGATCAAACGGCAAGCGCGAAGCTGCGCGATCGCCCTGATGAAAGCAACCAAAGTCAGTGAGGGACTTGAGGATACATGGCAAGCAAAATTCCCCAGTATTACCTGTCTAGATCACTCATAGTATTTCGAACTGGAGGAAAAGAATGAAAGGGATGATCAAGTCGGAGCGGGCTGGTGACCAATCGGTGGGTCGTCCTAGATCCGAGGGGGTCACGGAAAAATCGACTTAGCCTAGCCTGGGAAACCCAGGGAGCAAAGAACAAAAACGGAAGCGCTATATGCAGAAAAAATCAACAGTCATTTTCTTCGTAACTCGGGGGGCGAGCGAAAGAAACAGGGGTGGATGCAAGTGGTTTGCAGTCCAGATGAAGGAGCCCTGCAGCAACAGAAGCAGCAAAGTCCTGTGGCGCGTTCACAACTTCCATGACTGAGCGATTCGGGCCAATCACAACGCAGAGCGATAAGATAAGATCGTGACCGCCAAGAGCAAAGGTCGAATCCAACTCAATTCGCACTCTCCATCCGCTGCTGCGAGTTGTATTTCGGCGTCTCCCGCTTCAGCAACGCTGTCCATTGAAGAGAGCCATGTCTTTCTTGGGACATTCTCTGCTTTTTATGTGTTGATTCAATAACATTAAATCGAGCAACGATAAGGTGAGCTGTTCGTCCCGCTTGAGGAATCCCCACTCGGCTAATGAGTCTTTACATGTTAGCTCTTAGCACCACGATCTCTCCATGTCAATGTCATAGCGACGACTCTGGTATCAATCGCTTCGTTTGAATCACATCCGAAATGCCGCCTCATCTACATCCGCGGTCACGATCGACCATGTCGCTCTTTGCAGCGACACTCCTCGCATCGCTCTTTGTCGTTGGCATGCCGCATGTCTTCCCATGCCCCGCTCCGCGTCGTACGCTGGCGGATTCCGAAATGATTGTGACCGCCGATGGACAACAATTACAGAGAATTCGAAGAAAGAGAAGGAAAGACCCAAACATGCTCGAACAAGATGGAGCTTCAATACACCAAGCAAGGCCCCAGTCTTCAGACGAGGAGGTGTCGACATTCTTACAAATGGAGGAGGAAGCAGAACGTCTGGCCAATACAGGGAGGGAATGCCCTGTTCCTAAGCCCAAGGGCGTTTTGGGACAATTGTTAGGATTTCCAACTGCTGAGGGACAGCAGAAACAGCGGACTCTCGGGACTGAGTCGGTGGCCTCCCCAAACCAAGGAGGCTGATATTACAAATTGGTCCGCAATGGTCTCGGTGATCCTGTGTGATACCATAATAGGCAAAGCGCATTGATTTCAACCGATCGTGCAGTCTTCATGCCGTTACTTGTCCCACGAAAAAGGGCACAATTGCCTGCTATACCCATGTACAGATAGTGTAGATATTAGCACTTGTATCGGCTTTATGTTGATATACTTTTTGAATTGAATGAATGACACCTTATGGACTTTACTATCGTATGTTTTTTCCAGCTCAATTGGTTGGTTCTGCTGATGGCGGTTTCAATGGGTCTTCCACTCTGCCCGTCGTGTTCGGAGCTAAGCCGGAAAATGGCGAATGTCATTGGCTCCGCACTCTCAGGCAACCTGCAACAACAATGCAACTTCATATACCGTCGCTATCGATATAATGGACCTGAAGCACATTCTGCGCGATTTTTGTATGAACCCCAGGCATACAAGATGGGTTGCTCCTCTACTTATTCTGGGCGATGCCGTCCTTTGCGCACTAATCATCTGGAAGGTCCCGTGTGAGTTCAGCATCATGTTCTAGAATGTCAGGAACATAGCTAGCTACAGAGAGCTAACATTGAACGCTTGGATGCAGATACTGAGATCGATTGGACGACCTACATGCAGCAAATCTCACTCTATATCTCAGGCGAGCGCGACTACACCTTGATCAAAGGGTCTACGGGGCCTCTGGTGTATCCCGCCGCCCACGTGTACATTTACAACATCCTTTACCACCTTACGGATGAAGGACGAGATATCTTCCTCGGACAAATTCTGTTCGCTATTTTATATCTGTCTACCTTGACCGTCGCGATGACCTGTTATAGACAGGCCGGAGCCCCTCCGTATCTCCTAATACCCCTTGTGCTTTCAAAGCGGCTTCATAGCGTTTTCTTGCTGCGCCTATTCAACGATGGATTTGCGGCTTTCGCCATGTGGGTTACTGTCCTCTTGTTCATGAACAAGAAGTGGACCGCTGGAGTCATTGTATGGTCTACAGGTGTTGCTATCAAGATGACGCTGCTGCTTCTGGCTCCTGCTATCGCAGTTGTGCTGGTGCTCAGCTTATCCCTTGGACCAAGTATTCAACTAGGACTTCTTGCGGTGCTCATCCAGGTAGAAAGACTCCCTTTTTGTTCGAGGGAAAGAAATGGCTAACAAGGCGAGTAGGTCTTACTTGGAATACCGTTTCTGCAAAACAACCCGACGGGATATGTTTCGCGAGCCTTTGAGCTGACCAGACAATTCATGTTCAAGTGGACAGTCAATTGGAGGTTTGTTGGAGAAGACCTATTTCTATCGCGCAAGTTTTCCCTGGCCCTATTGGCATTGCACATTTTGCTGTTGGGTCTGTTTGTTGCCACAGTTTGGCTGAAGCCGTCTGGATCAAACCTGCCAAGCTTCCTGCATAGATTAAGCCAACGACGCTACCACACAGTTCCCCTTTCCAAGTCTTTCATAATGACGGCAATGCTGTCATCACTTGCGATTGGTCTGCTGTGCGCGAGATCGCTGCATTACCAATTCTTTGCTTATCTTGCTTGCACGACACCCTTCCTTCTTTGGCAGGCGGGCTTCCATCCGATCCTTGTATACATCGTCTGGGTGGCGCAAGAGTGGGCTTGGAACACATATCCTAGTACCAACACGAGTTCTCTAGTCGTGATCCTCTCACTCGCTGCTCAAGTATTCGGTGTGCTCGGCAGCTCATTCAGTCGCAAGCATCTGGATCAGAGTAGCCAAAAAGAACATTTGCAATGAATCTGACATTCAGCCCTCGTGAGGGAGTTGCTGCAAAGATCCCTGTTTACTTGCTTCCCCCAACCTTTTTGATGATCGATGGATCCACAAGTAAACCATTCCTTGCCAGGGGGCCAGGCAATGGTTGAGCTGAAGGCGAGTCGTTTGGGTGAAGGCTTCGGAGGTTTAATCACGCATCCGACTCGTCTGACGAAGGCATCTTGCCCACATTCGACTCGTCTTCCTCATCAGATGATTCCATGGCAGTTGGTTGCTTGACGAACTCTTTTGGCCTATGGGAACTGTCAGCATATCGCATAGACCGCAGGATGTCCCGCCTTCATAGTAGCATCAGACTGACCAAAAAGGAGCTTTACGCCAGGCCTTTTCATCCCTGACGATGTTGATGATTTCTCCGCCGAGCTTATTGTCTCTATCCTCTAAGGCATTCGTGTCAACCACGACATAGGAACCCCGCTTGATCCAGATTGTGGATCGGAACCGCGCAGGCAATTCTACCAGCGCTCTCGCCTTCGAAGGATATTCGACCAGGTAGACATTGTTCCCAGTGGCTTTAATGACTCGGCCAATTTGTTGTCCTTGAGCAAGCTCATCAGGCGGGAACAAAGTCTCTTCAGCTGTAGCAAGCACCTTTCTTCTTGGAGGGCCCATGGCTTCTTGAGAGAGCAAAATTGATGACGCAAGCAAGAACCCTACTTTGACTTCACTCTGTATATTCAATTCAGTGTTGAGTTCAATGGCTGTCAAATCTCAGGCACAATTTTTTGACAATTGCTTATTGTTTGTCAAAGTGGTGGAGTTGACAAACAGATGAAATACAAGATTAAAAAGTAAAAAAAACTTTACTGTGGCGGGGATAGACTACTGTGGAGCTTTATCGTAGGTACCTTTCCCCCTCATCCCGCACCTATCGCAAGTTCCCGACGACCATGATGATTGGAGCATGAATAGTTCGTCGTCCATACAGGCTGACGACATATGCATTGTGAACCATCTGTCCCTTAACGATTGGAAAGATGGCAAAATAAATTGCCAGCTGACAACGCACTAAATGGCTCCCCTTTGTGTTCTGGAACCTCGATGAACTTAGCACCCCTATCATGAAGATATCTGACTTTGAGTCAGCTGGTCGTCATCGGAACTCATTTTCCAAAGTCGATTATAAATGTTAATGTGGCACCTCATGGGCTTCTCAGATTTCTTTTTTCACGCTCTTTTCCACGGGAATTGTTCGACTTCTCCAGCTGCATTCAGATATCACTTTCTTGATATAGCTGGATTAGGATAACACACTCTCATCATGTCTTCCTCAGCCTTTGGGGCTGTGGTGCGGTTCGAGAGCGCCTCACCAATCGCTAACCCTGCGGCCGTGGTGCGAAAAGATAGGCAGGGTATCGCTCGCACTCCCTCCGAATACGAGCTCGATCATATGCGCGAAAGTCGCCAGTCTCATGCGTCAGGGCCAAGCACCGGAGTTCGCATGCCTATCACACCAGTCACTCCCGGCGAGTTGGAGAGCCTTCCGGGCTCACCTGCAGGAGACGGTCCTATCGATGCTATCGATGCTATCGATCCACTGCCAAATCCCACCTCATCTGCGACAACTAGATGGCGACTTTTGAGTGCTTGTATGATGAATGTGGCCAATGGCTTGAATGACAGCGGCCCGGGTGCTCTGATTCCGTACCTTGAGAAAGACTACAATATCGGTTACGCAGTCGTGTCTCTGATTTTTGTGACTAATGCGCTGGGTTTCATACTTGCTGCGCCAGTCACACAATTATTTGAGGCAAAACTCGGGCGCTCAAAATCTTACGCCTTATCAATGAGTTTGTTGGTTGCAGGATATGTGATCATTCTCTTCAAACCGCCATTTCCAGCCGTCGTGGCCAGTTTCTTTCTGCTGGGATTCGGAATCGCGCTGAATTTAGCCTTGAACAATGTTTTCTGTGCGAACTTAGCGAATAATACGGCTTCTCTCGGCGCCATGCACGGCGCCTACGGCATTGGGGGGATCATGGGACCTCTAATAGCGACGGCCATGGTATCCGACGGGGTTCAGTGGTCCTTTTACTACTCCATCAACCTCGCACTAGCAGTGTTTAATCTAGCGTTTGCAATGTGGACCTTCCGCGGGTATGAAAAAGAGCTGCCGATTCAACTTCTCACCGCGCTTCAGCAGACGGCTTCACAGCTGGAGCATGGTCATAATGTGGCTAGCAAAAAGCAACTATTGAAGTTAGCAGTCAAGAACAAGACGACGTTACTCGGGGCTCTTTTCATCTTTGCATACCAGGGTGCAGAGGTTTCTATCTCAGGCTGGGTTGTCTCGTTCCTGATCAGCTATCGTAAAGGAGATCCCTCCCATGTCGGCTATGTCAGCGCCGGATTTTGGGCGGGTATTACCCTTGGACGCTTTGTGCTCTCGCATCCGGCGCATATGGCTGGAGAAAAGCTTGCGGTTATTTTGCTGGTTGTGGGATCTGCTGCTTTCCAGCTTATGACGTGGCTTATTCCAAATGTCATCGGGGACGCGGTTTCTGTGGCTATTGTGGGATTGCTGCTAGGTCCCGTCTACCCTTGTGCTACAGCGGTCTTCAGCAAGTTGCTTCCTAGAAATATTCAGATCTCTAGCTTGAGCTTTATCAGCGCTATGGGAAGTAGTGGTGGTGCCGTTGCGCCTTTCTTCACAGGCTTGCTGGCGCAGAGCGTGGGAACATATGTTCTTCACCCAATCTGCATTGGATTATATGGTGTGATGCTTGTGGGTTGGGGCTTGATGCCTAAGGTCTCCAAGAGGTCTGAATAGAGTTGCTTGGATCGCCAAACTAATGAGGGAATGGGTTATGCTGAGTTTTATGGTGTTACTGGAGGGCCGGTACTTCACACAACTTCTGGGTCTAATGATGCAGGAAGACTTTTTCGCAACAGCGCATCCAAATCCTCAGCCTCAAAACGCCAATGGATAGTACTTCCGGTGATCAATGTTCAGCATATTCAGATTTTCTCTGACACTAGCTCAGAGATGAGAGGTAAACCAGGATCGCCCAAGCAACATTCCGTTGCTGGGAAGGAGCAGTATTCATTTCTGACCATGACATACAAGGGGCAAACATGACCTTATCTGAAGAGCCTCTCATCTCCTGTGCTTGCTTGATGTGTCAGCTTCCCACTGCAGGCTGGATCTTTCTGTTTGCCTAGTTGTCTTCTCCTGGTTCTGGCTGGCATTCCTCGCTTCTCTTGACCTGGCCCAGGAATGTACCTCCAGAACACACCCGCCGCCCAACCTGGGGTGAGCTACTAAGTCCACAGGAGATCATGTGTGACTTAAACTTACTTTACTGCAAGAGACAGGCCGCATAGAGGAGCCACATGATTGTTGGGGACGTGCTCGAAGCTCGAAGGTTTATGGATGACTACGGGCAAGTCAGGTCACCACAAAATATCTGGCTGGATGGTGCTACGATGGTGCTTTGGGGACATTGTACAGAGAACAGATTAGATCCCTTGAAAATAAATATCTCCTAGCCAGCTAGGATTTGGCACCTGTGGATAAGTCACCAGATACGTTCACTGATTCAGGACTCTTTGTGTTCGTATGTACATTCGGAGTCTTCTATATGAAGCTGTTCGTGCTGTGGCATCAACCAAGCGACCCAGCTGCTCCCCATGATATCAGATTGTGAAATGAATCAGATCTTCCTTCTCAAAAACTTTTCGGAAATCTCACCTTATATGCCACAGCCAGGCCAGCCCGTTATTTCTTCCCATTGCCGCCTTCTCACAATAGTATAACATCACTGATTGTTGCCCCCGTGTCGAATTAAGGCGTATTTCAAGCCCCTTCCGGTCTCGTCGTAGCTGCTGGCCTATTTCCAGCAGGAAAACATCAATTATTCACCGTATATAGATACTCAGGTAGGTAGCCTCAACAGTTCGCTACCCAACCAGAATACTAGGAATATTATTCCCCATCATTCCATACCCATTTTGCTGGCGGGCGGTCAAGCCAGATTCCCACGAATCCGAGTTCTGGCAGGACTCAAGCACAGCCCAGTTCATCGGCCTAAAGAGGGAGAAAAAACCGTCTTGAGAAAATCAACCTTGCTTTCCCTGGTTGTCGATCCAGGAGCCAAGCTGTTTCACTTCAATCATCTTCTGATCTTTCTTCAAGTTGATTGGGGAAGAAAGAAAGAAAGTGATTTTGTCATCGAGCTGGGCATTGGTTCACGTTTCCCGAGTGGCATCTTTGTAAGGTATTATTATTGACTACTGTTAGTCCGCCCTCGTTGCGATCCATCTGCCCCCCTCCTTTGCACCTGTCAACAAGAACCCCGCGACGGTTCTATCAGCCTCCCACACTTCCCATCCATATATCCTCACCTCTTCCATTCGATCGTTTCCCCGGATTCGTACTAATTTTCCATCGTGTGACTAGGTTCGAAGTCTCTCGAGAAAACACGACTTTCTCGTCTTCGGACCACCTTGCCACTATGGACGGGGACGACCTTATTGCCTCGGTCTACCGCAAGATCGAGCGGGAGAAGGCTCTCATCACTGCCGCGTCGAACATGCGCCAGTCGACCGATAACCCGCTCGTGCAGCAGAGAGTCGATGCGAATATTCGCGATGGTCGGAAAAACATCGCCTATCTCGAAGAGAAGATGCGGGAGCTGCAGCTCCGACAGATGAAGCAAGAAGGGGCTTCCCCCACAGACAAACGACTTCCTCCGAATCCTGACGGGTCGGGCCCAGTTCCTCCTCCGAAAGATTACGCATCAGGCTATCCTGGTCACGAGAAGGAGTATGGGGATGCTTCCGGGGCATATCCGCATGGAGGGGCAGGGTCCATGCCGTCCGGAGCGCCCTTTGCGGATCCTCGTCCTTTTGCCCCCATTCCAAAGGCCCGGCCGAATTATACTAAACTGGGTAGGTTCTACTACTTGTTTGCTGTGCGGAGCGATGTTGTAACTTGTTTGAAGTGTTTTTCGCGGAGATCGCGTGAGTTCGTCTACTGACTTGGGACCGTTTGCGTATAGATCTGATCAAGTACGACACTCCTTATCTTGGACCGAAGATTCAGCTCATGTTATCTCAACTGGAATTTAAATTGAGCGTTGAGAAGCAATACAAGGCCGGTATCGAGAAGATGGTCCGTTTATATCAAGATGAGGGCGATAGGAAGAGCCGACAGGACGCAGAGGGGAGGCGAATCGAGAGTAATCAGAAAATTCAGCTGCTCAAGCAGGCTCTCAAACGATATGAGGACCTTCATGTGGATATTGAATCTGCCGAAGCACCTGACGGTACGTCGCCAGCCACTGCTTGTTGCCCGGTCTTCGCAATCTGCGGTTACTGACTTGCTTTGACCAGACGAAAGCTTGAGCACACCAAACCTGCGCAAGCCGTTGACCGGTCTATTAACATTGCGTATTCATGCTGTGAAGGATGTCGATCATGCTGCCAGCTCAAGGTTCTCCAGAGGTCCTGAGACTTTTGTCGTTGTCAAAGTAGAGGATGCCATCAAAGCGAGAACGAAAGCTACCAGAACCGACAAATGGCAAGATGAGGGGTTTAACATTGACATTGACAAAGCGAATGAAATTGAGCTTACCGTATACGACAAGTCGGGCGATCGGCCCACCCCTATTGGCATGCTCTGGGTGCGCATATCTGACATCGCCGAAGAAATGCGCCGCAAGAAGATCGAGTCGGAGTTTAACGCCTCGGGCTGGGTCTCTGCAGATAAGATGGACCATGGGGGCGCACATGGCAGGCAAGACGCTGGCGGAGCGCCGGGCTCGTCCAATCGACCACCCTCTGGGGGTCATCCTGGCGGTCCAGGTCAAGGATATGCCGGTGGTGCTCCCGGCGGCCCTTCCGCAGGCCCGGTCCTGATCGACACTTGGTTCGCGTTGGAGCCAGTTGGTCGTATCCACCTGACGCTGAGCTTCGGTGAGTACCTGTATACCGCGATTTTTACTACTTCAGCGCACTGACGTATTTATAGCCAAGCAATTGAAGGATCGCCGCCCTTTCGATATCGGTCTCAACCGTCAAGGTGCCGTCCGACAGAAGAAGGAGGAGGTGCACGAGAAGCAGGGTCACAAGTTTGTCACGCAGCAATTCTACAACATCATGCGCTGTGCCCTTTGTGGTGATTTCTTGAAATATGCTGCCGGCATGCAGTGTGCCGACTGTAAATATACCTGTCACCGAAAGTGCTATCCAAAGGTCGTCACCAAATGTATCAGCAAGGCCAACTACGAAACGGACCCCGACGAGGAGAAGATCAACCACCGTATTCCGCATCGCTTCGAGGGATTCTCCAACATCTCGGCCAATTGGTGTTGTCACTGCGGATACCTGCTTCCTTTCGGACGAAAGAGCGCTAAGCGCTGTACAGGTATGTCTTCCTTATGACACTAGGGCATTTTTTTCAATACAGGATCTGACATATATTTGCGATTCCCTTGCAGAATGTAGTCTTACTTGCCATGCTCAATGTACCCACCTTGTCCCTGACTTCTGTGGCATGTCCATGGAAGCGGCCAACCAGATCCTGGAAACTCTCATTCGAGCGAAGAACCATAATAAATCAGCCTCTGTCAGTTCCGGTCTGAGTGGACGTACCCTTCGACCAGGAGGTCCCCCCCAAGCCCCTCAAGATAATGCTACTCTCGCCTATCCGCAAAAGCCAGTCGAGGGTGCCTACGGTGCCCCTCAGAGGCAGCCGTCCGCTGAGGCTATCAGCGCCGCAACCAACACTTATATTCCTCCACAGTCACCGACAGCGGCTCAGCGTCAACACCTGCCTCCGCGAACTTCTTCCTCGCAGAGCCCCGCAGCCGCCGCCGCCGCCGCCGCAGCCGCAGCCACTGGCCTGCGTACGCCCCAGCAAGTATCAGGTACGCTCGGTCAATTTTCGTTGCACCACCAGGTGCGCAGCATGTGCCCTTGCTTACCGTACTCTAGATCCTAGCCGTCCAGTGCAACCACCGCCGTCCTCGCACGCCCACTATGACCCTGCCGCGTATGCATCCTACCAGCAAGCGATCCCTCCTCAAGCAATGCAAAAGATGGGTGCACCTTATGGCATGCCTCAACAGCCGCAGCAACAGCAGCAGCAAGTCGTTGCGCCAACGCAACAACAAGTTGCCGTGAAGGAGGAAATTCCTCCTCAGCAACCCAAAGTCAGAATTGGATTGGATCATTTCAACTTCCTAGCCGTTCTTGGTAAGGGTAACTTCGGAAAGGTCATGCTAGCAGAGACAAAGAGCACCAAGAAGCTTTACGCCATCAAGGTGCTGAAGAAGGAGTTCATCATTGAAAATGATGAAGTGGAGAGCACTAAATCCGAAAAGCGTGTCTTCCTGATCGCCAACAAGGAACGCCATCCATTCCTTCTCAACCTTCACGCGTGTTTCCAGACAGAAACTCGTGTGTACTTTGTTATGGAATACATCAGCGGTGGTGATCTGATGCTTCACATTCAACGCGGTCAGTTTGGGCTGAAAAGAGCACAGTAAGTTGAGCACATAGAACCGCACATATCAGAAAATTTCCGGAAAAACTAATCGCGCAATTCACAGGTTTTATGCTGCCGAAGTTCTGCTGGCTCTCAAGTACTTCCATGAAAACGGAGTTATTTACCGTGACTTGAAGCTGGACAATATTCTCCTGACTCTAGATGGGCACATCAAAATTGCCGATTACGGTCTCTGCAAGGAGAATATGTGGTATGGAAGCACCACCAGCACATTCTGTGGAACACCCGAGTTCATGGCACCTGAGGTGAGAATCTTCGCCTTTCAAGCCTTTGCATCGTCAGTTAACGCTTTACAGATTCTGCTGGACAAAAAGTATGGCCGAGCGGTCGATTGGTGGGCATTCGGTGTCCTGATTTATCAGATGCTCCTGCAACAGTCTCCTTTCCGTGGTGAAGACGAAGATGAAATCTACGATGCAATTCTTGCCGATGAGCCTCTCTATCCAATCCACATGCCTCGGGACTCAGTCTCTATTCTACAGAAATTGCTCACCCGTGAACCTGAGCTGAGATTGGGATCTGGGCCCACAGACGCTCAAGAAGTCATGTCGCATGCCTTCTTCAGGAACATCAACTGGGACGATATCTACCACAAGCGTGTTCCTCCACCTTTCATGCCGACGATCAGCAGCCCCACTGATACAAGCAACTTCGATCAGGAGTTCACGAGTGTGACCCCGGTACTCACGCCCGTGCAGTCAGGTAAGATATCACCCGTAGGTATTGGCTATTTCAAGGCTAACGATGTCATTGCTAGTCCTCTCCCAAGCTATGCAGGAGGAGTTCCGCGGCTTCTCGTACACTGCGGACTTCGCTTAAGATACTCGGTCTTGATTGAGAATTATCGTGACATTGCCTTCACTGCTCATTCGTCCAACGAGATCTTTGGAACCCTTTGCTTTTTGACTTCTTGACCAATCGCTGGTCGCCGTGAGCACTTTGTTTTCGCATTGGAGATTTTTCTTAACATACCCATGAGAGTTTTCAGAGCTGGTGTGAGCACTTTTACGGCCTTGATGAGCGCGGATCGAATATACGGCTTGGTCCCGGGGTCTCTGTCTTCCTCATTCGTTTTAAAAATATTTAGGGCTAATCGCTTTAATCCTGAAGAATTCTAGTTTACCATTTCTGAGATGTGGCTATGCAATGCTCTCCGTTCGATGATTGTCCTACCTTCTGATTTGAAAGAGGTACTGGCGCTTTTCCGTAGACGACGGCTGAGAGGCAAGACAAGGCAGGGTTTTGTGGAGGTCCATTAACATTTACCGCGCTTCAGGACTTCCAGCCAGTGTTGTCTCCTGATTTATGGAAGCGTATGCATAACACTATCAGCTTATATTTCCTTGGTTTCATCTCGTAAGGAGGTTCGCGTTTCAAGTCTCTTTGTGTTGCTCCATGCGAACGTCGATAATGGTCTGGATGCAACACATGCACTGACGCCATATTGCAAAGATGATCACTGGTATGGTAGAGTCGAAGACTCGGTTCTCTCTCTGTCTTTTAGACTAATCTTTGGCATTGGCATCGGCGTCTTCGATATTCTTTGTCTGTCAACACACTTTCTCGAGTCTAACAAAGAAAGACACCGTGCGGACACTAAAGATAGAATTATCTTCCATATTTTTTTTATCCTACCATGGCACTGCGGAATGCACTCGTTCTTTCAGACGATAGCCATTCTAGTGTCTTGTGCCCTTCTCGAGGGCGAGTGGAAGATGGACATAATGCGTCAGTCTCCACCAAGCTCATCCTCGTGTCACTCTTCCCAGGCGAAAACCTGTACCTTCTGAGTCTTCTGAATCTTCGCTATCCTCTTGCAAAACTCTTGAGACCATCAGTGATTTTGATACGAATAGAACTTTGATTCCTCATCAGATAAGTCATTACGAATACGAAGCTGAGTCTATTGCCCCTTGGAGTGAAACGAATGTGAGCTACACCCTACCACCGACGGACACAACGACAGGAGCTATAGTTACTAGACAAGCAAAGCAAGCTACGAAGATGTCAGAATACGCCGCAATCCCCAGAATTCGAAGGAAACGAGTTACGAACCGCAAAGACCTCGATGACGAAGAAAGCCTCAACGACGACTTGATGGGTCCGTCGGACATGGAAAGCACAGGAGACGCTACTAGCAGGAGAGCAAACAAACGCCGCGATCTGGACCCTTCGTATGACCCAAATCAAGATGACGATGACCCGGATGAAGATGATCAATTCACCCTAAGGATTCCCAAAGATGGTCGGAGAAAACGAGCTCTCGACCCGACGTATACACCCGGCAAGGACGACGCCGGTGAAGATGATGACGATGAACAACTTCCTAGGGGCTCACAGCGAAAGAAGAGAAGACCTTTACACCCTGCCTTCGTTCCTGACGAATATGACGACGATGACCAGGACAAGTTCCTGGGTTCATCGAAGAGGGGCAAGGGCAGGACTACAGACAAACGAACCTCGAAAAGGAAAGCGACCTCTGATATTGGAGTTGGGAATCTACCTACTCCTAGCAAAGACACACCTTCTCGAGCCGCGAAAAGGATGAAGAGTAAACCAACACCACCTCCAAGAGTCCCCGTTCCTCCGGCTCTCACAGATCCTCAGCCTGATAACTCTGACGAAGATGTGGTCACTAAAAATCCGTGGGAGCTTGTAAACGCCAAAACACAGCCAAACCACCCCTTAGTGTTGAAAGCCATGGAGATCCTCAACAAGATCGCGGATGATAGAAACAAAGCTTTCTTCACGCTCGCCAAAGCTCATCAACGCTCTCGAGAAAGCTATCCTGCCCGCTTGGCAGATAATACAAATGACGTGGCTCATACCCAGGGCAAGGTAGACTCTTCACGAAAGAGATCCCAAAACTGTGACGCCGTTGTGCGGCATTCTGACTCTGGCGCGCGAGTAGGCGATACTCTAGCGATTCAGAAAGATGAAGCAAACGATTCGGTACCAGATCTGTCCCTGGAAAGAGCAAAGCGCTGGGCAAACGCTGTCAATGTGCCCAAGGGTCTCTGGAGCGAAGCGGAGAGACAACTTTTCTATCGAATTGCCATGAGGGGTTTTGAACCTTTGCTTCCCAAGCAGTGGCATTACGACTTCTCCACATTGCCCAATCCCCTGTTCGCTGTTTCTGGTGAGAAACCGTCGCCGTTGATTAATACAATCAGAGGCTCGGAGTTCTACGGTAAGTTGGAGCTCAGCCATGCAATTTGCCTTTGATAGTCCGCTGAGTATGTTGCAGCAATCAGGTCACTTTCTGTTCTATTCTCTCTCGGCGGCTATGTGAGAGACTGCAGCCTTGTGCATCGTCGACCTGAGCCCATCATAAAACGAGCTATTAGCAAGTACATTCGCTGGGCTGTGTACGACGCAGGTCTACATGTTAGCTCAAATGCAATACCCTTGTATGCAATAGGCGCTAGGAAGAGAGGAGAAAGTACCGTCAAGGCTGTGGTGAAAGTGAACCAACATCTACAAAAGCTGGCGGATCGATTTCGAAGTGCCTATGGCCTTGCATCCGCTACGAAAGAGCTTGTGGCACCTGCCAATAGAGCAAAAACAAAAGCATCGAATAGGCCCCCTCTTCTTACAGGCTTTGTTATCAGCGGCCCAGTGGTCGCCATCTTGACCCTGAACACCGACCCTTCCGCCGCAAAGGGTCAACGGGGAACTGAAGACAGCCATTTCATTTGCCAACTCGATCTCAGTGAACAGGGTCAAGATGTGTGGAACTCACTTGCAGTGGCAATATCTGTCATGCATATCCGCAACACCATGATGGAGCTTGCCGAGCATCATTTGGCAGGTTTGTGCAGATTTAATGCAGATGCACATGTGGTAGTGGACCAAGACCTGTGAGCATCATGTTTGGCGCATATAGCTACATAAATTCGTCAGAGCTCAGTTGGACTCTGGGCCATCCTTCCTCTAACCAGCATTTACCGAATTCAGTGATTTGTTTTTATCCCTGGAGTTAGCGAAATATATGTAACTCGATACAGCCATATGCTACTAGCAATCGATCACCTTATAGTAGTGCAAACCAAACTTAGCAAACTTCCAGAGATCCGCATAGGATTTGCTCTGCCATATTTCCTTTTCTGTTGGGATCAAATCGTGCTGCTATCAGTCCCAACTTGACATGCGCAGTATATATCACGTGATCTAACCAATGTCTCCCCGCTGCTTGTTGATTGACAGAGTCGCAGAGGCACAAATCCACTAAAGGTGCAAAGTTTCGTCATGGATGACAGTGACGATAGGGAGATCAAGTTACAGAGAGCTTCCAGTGACTTGGTCAAGGAATTCTCCGCCAAGCTGCCATCTCTGCTCTGGAAACCGCGGAATGAGGAGAGACAGAGTATTCGTGTCCCACGAAGACGGACGCAGGCTGCCAAGGCAGAGAGACTTATAAACCTTGTAAGAGCATTCATTCTCTAAATACCGTTGATATGACTTGTTCACAGTGTTACTCTACAGCTTGAGCCTTTTCAAGAATGGCCGCAGCTGCTAGACCCGCATCTGCAGGCGCTTCTGCCTCCTCTGGTGGATGCCTTCCTCGCTTACCTGGTCAAATATCGCGACCAATATGGCTCTAGAGCTCCCAAGGCAGAGCGGCAGGTACTGTATCCCTTGCCAAGGGCCATCTGTCGGCTTCTCTATACCTTTTGCAAGGTCCGTGGGGTTAAAGTTATCAGTCGGTTTTTGAACAATGAGCCTAAGTACCTTGATCCAATGTTGCGGGCGTTCATCAATTGGGATGCGCTCACTGCAGACGAACCTTACGGAGAAAATCCGCGACAATTAGTTTGGGAGGAGCGCTACGTGATGCTGATCTGGCTTTCGCATTTATTGCTCGCCCCGTTTGACCTTTCGTCCTTGTCCTCGGACGATATCCCGGTACCGGTTGACAATCTGGGTCAAATTAAGCCATTACCGGCGCATGCGCCAATGGTAGCAAAGTCTCTACTTTCGGTGGCGCTGAAATATGTCAATGTCCCGGGTAAAGAACGGGAGGCTGCCACTCTGTTGCTTGCGCGGCTTATTTTGCGGCGGGATATGCAAGCCCTTGGGCTCCTGACTAACCTTACAGAATGGGCTTTTGCTGTTTTGAATCCTGGAAAAAGCGAAGAGCTTCCTTCTGTCTACACATGTATCGGTGTTTTATCTTTCCTGGGACGACTGGGCGCTTCGGGCCAGGTGGATGAGTTTGCGCCCTTGATTATCCCCACCTTTGAACGCACTCTGCATATTGCACAGGAGCGAACGGGTGTATCTGAGATCATCAGTTCGTCTGCTCTTGCTCGCAAGACTATCATCAAGATTCTGCGGACTGTGACAGTCATGGCACTGTCACTTAGCGAAAGACCAAACAGCCCAATTCCAGAGGACAAAGTTTCTTCGATTCTGGAAGATTCAATCGATCATTTGTTGGTGTCTCTCGCCGATAAGGATACACCTGTCCGCTTCGCCGCAAGCAAAGCACTCAGTATCATTACTCTGAAGTTGGGCCCGGACATGGCGTCTGAAGTTATCGAGGCTGTCACTGGCTCCCTAGAAGAAAATATACTTTACGAGAAGCCGGATGGCACAATTGTCGCACCGTTCGAAGCGCGAAAGATTGGGCTGAATCTACTTAAGCGAAACCTGAATGCGGTAGATGCGCAAAGGTGGCAAGGCTTGATACTCACACTGGGGCATTTACTCTTTCGACGCGCTCCCCCAACCCATCAACTTCCATATGTACTGCAGCCGCTCATCTCTGGTCTCGATTTCGAACAACGATCATCTACGGGAAGCTCGGTAGGCAGCGGCGTTCGAGATGCTTCGTGTTTCGGTATATGGGCAATTTCTCGCAAATACACGACCCAAGAACTGTTGACTTTGGACACGCAAATGATAAGCACCCCATCGCGTCAGGATAAAAAGAGCATTTTGCAAATTCTGGCAACAGAATTAGTATGTGCCGCTTGTATGGATCCTTCGGGGAATATCCGAAGAGGCGCCTCTGCTGCTCTGCAGGAGCTGATCGGCCGCCATCCCAGCACCATTGCCGAGGGGATTTCATTAGTTCAGGTGGTGGATTATCACGCAGTTGCCAGACGATCACGAGCGATGATTGACGTTGCGAAAGCCACCGCTGCACTAAGTCACCATTACTGGAGCCCACTTGTGGAATCTCTGATGGGCTGGCGAGGAATGGGATCTCCTGATGCTGAGTCCAGAAGACAGGCCGCAAAAGCAATCGGAGAACTCAGTATCCACGAACCATACAAGACAATTAGCGTAGTGTTTCACCGATTACGGCAGAAGCTATCGAGTCTTCCTCGCGGTGACGTCGAGGCGAGACATGGCTGTTTGCTGGCTATTTCTGCCACAGTAGATGCCTTCAATGCGCACAAAGCCACAGCGAGGGACAGCAGGGAGCAATCTGAAGCCATTCTTGTTGCCCAACAAGTTACCGATCTTTGGGACATTTTTAGCTCAGCAGTCGGCCCTACCAAGGAGGACCTAACACTCCAAATTTCTCGACCGGAATTGACAGCTGAAGCCTCATCGCACTTGATTCGTTCGCTTTCCCTATCAGTTACCCAAGGAAATGAGCCTACTTGCTCTCAGCTATCATCTTCTTCACTGGACAGAGCACATGAGACTCTCTTGCTATGTTTATCTCGGAGTGACGAGGTTGCTATAGAAGCATCATCTGAAGCTGTATCCGAGTTCTTCCCTCTTCTATCACCGTCTAAACAGGAAGAGACGATCCAAGATTGGTTCGCACACATTCGTGCTACCTGGAAGCTGCCAACGAGCAGAGGACAGATCTCGGTACTAGGGGCGGTGTTCAGGCAACTTGAACTGGTCAATAGTCTGAGACAGTCTGTGGTCGAGGCATTGCTTCGCTGCACTGATAAGGAGGAGTTGATCGAGAAGAGGGTAGTAGCGGCCAAAAGTTTGACTACGGGGGTTTTGCCCTATATCGGTGAGTTCAAACGTATATCAAGTGAAACAATTTGCTGACTGCAAGGCAGCTATCACGGAGGATATTGCGAATCATATCATTAGATTTCTGAATGACTACACAACTGACAGGCGAGGCGATGTTGGGTCCTTGCTGAGACTGGAGGCAATTCAAGCTGCAAAGATTATCCTCAGACGTCAATCTCGTCCTGAATCCCGCTCTGTCTATGCCCAGAATATAGTGGGCTGTCTTTGCCGGCTTGCTGCAGAAAAGTTGGACAAAGTCCGTCTACAAGCTTGGATTTGTCTACAGGAGTTCTGGGCGTCAGCCGAAGACTTCCCACCGTTACAGAGGTAAGAGAAAAAGTATGATTGAATCGGTAGTACCACTGCTGACTGAGGCAGAAAATATGACCATTTCAGCCATGTGTCTTCGACCGAATACTTCCTTCAGTTACTTCAGCTGCAAGCGATCGATCAGCTACGCTTACCATTGTTTCAGGGATTGGCAACATCTGCTGTTGCCGGTGCTGAAGGGCTCATCTGTTCTACTCGCCAAGCACTGGTGCAGAGCCTTAGCGGCTACAGTGAAACGGAGCAGCAGATCAAAGCGCGCGCTATTTTGAAGGACCTTGGTGTCATATTGAGCGATAATTTGCACGATGATCGCTATGCTATACCGTCAATGGAATTTGCAGCGTTTCTATTGGACGGCTATGTCTCCTCAGTGCCTGAAGAGTCTGAGCCAAGGTGCGTTATTGGCAGGAAGAGTTTGGCTGAAATCGGCTGACTTTGATATAGTTTCAGGAAGCTCTTCGTACTTGTGCAAAAGGCACACTTTAAGACCACGAATATGGCAAGGCTCGAAGCTGCAATCAAAGTCTATGCGCCTCTGTGTCGGTTGGAACATCTAAGGGCAGACGTCCTGAAGAAGATGGTCGGAATGCTTCTGCATCCATTTCCTAGGGTATGTAGTGTAACTCTTTTCAACAAGGGCGTTTATGCTGACCGACTATAGATCCGCTCAAGCGTAGCAGACTACTTATTCACGGAGACGGGGTCAGACCTTGTGAAAGACGAGGATTGGACCAAGGCCCCGAAGCAACTCGCGGGTCAAGTCGAGAATTTACGGGCGATGTTGCGACTGTAAAATGATAAACGGAACTGTAAATACCTTCAAATGATGATAGTTACGATGAGTGCTCAAAGCAAATTAATGAATCAATCGAGAGTCCTGGACGGCTGAAAACGAGGGAAAGGCGAAATCAGCGCAGAGAGAAAAAAAGAAAAAGATCGAGTGCATCATCCGTGAATCGAACACGGGCCTCGTCGATGGCAACGACGAATTCTACCACTAGACCAATGATGCTACCATATATGTAGCATTTCCTAAGTATTAATAAATAACCTTACCCCAGATATGGGAAAGGCTGTCTCCAGATCAAATGGAAGTTCCGAAGGTCGATAATAGAAAGTCAGTAGTTTGAAACATCCAAGCTCACGACAAGGGCTCAGCGGTCGCAACCATGGCCGCATTACCAGCATCTACTCCCTCTCTTCCCCCTAATCCTACGTGAGTTGTCATTGACTTATCCAATCTTTGGAAGCTACATTGTGCTAACCCAAGCTACGCTCCGCAGTGTCTATGTGTGTCCCCTCGTCTGCACGCTACAACAAGCGAATGGCGCATCTAACATCCCTGACAAAAACAGGTCCGCAATCTAGAGGAACGCATCAAGATCGACCAGCTCAAAGTGGCCTTGGAGGAGATCTTCTCCGAGTATGGCAATGTCGTGGAGATCGTTGCGAAGACCAACCTGAAGGCCAAAGGCCAGGCGTTCATTGTCTTTGACAACGTCGAATCCGCGACCCGCGCAATCGAGGAGGTGAACGGATTTGAA